AATTTAACATTAAATTCACATTGCTAGAACAAAAGAGTTAAAACCCCACATGATTATCTCATCTCCTGCAGGAAAGGCATTTGACAGTCTTCCATGATAAAAATTCAGAAAAGTAGGAATAGAAAGGAATTTTGTCTATGATAAAGGGTATTTGATGAGAAAGACACAGCTTACATTAAACTCAGTGGTGAAAGCCTGAACTTTCCCCCTAAGACCAGAAAGGAGAGAAGGATGCCTAATTTCACTATTGCTATTCAACCTCCTCTACAAGAAATTTTAACCAATTAGAGAAGAAAAAGAAAAGGCTTCCAGATTGGAAGAAAATAGGTAAACTATATTTGCAGGTGATATCTGACACACAGAAAATTCTAAAGATCCTTTAAGAAAACTAGTAGAGCTTATAATAAATTCAGCAAAGGTGCATGGTACAACATCAACAGATAAAAGTCAGTTTATCTATACACCAACAATGAACAATCAGAAAAGGAAACTATGAATGTGATCCCATTTACAAAAGCATGTGAAGGAGTAAATTATGTCGGTTAACTTTACTCAAAGAGTTAAAAAATATGCACACTGGAAATTTAAAAGCATTGCTTAAAGGGCTTAAGGAAAACCTAAATAAATGGAGATATTCTATACTCATACGCAAGAAGATTTAATATCATCAAAATAGCAATATTATCCAAAGAGATCTACAGATTCTACTCAATCTCCATCAAAATTCCAACACCATTTTTTTTCTTTTGCTGAATAAGTGAAGAATGCTTAGTGCCAGTGACATTTTATAACATGGAATGGGAGGCTTTGAATCATTTCCACCTGCAAACGGAGCAGGGATCCAGGAGTCAAAACACTCATTTGGGTTAAAGTTGTCCTTTATTTACCATGATTCATTCAGAATCCCAAGAAGACATACTGTTTTCAAAGCCTGCTTATTTTGAGAGAACTTCACAAAGTTCTTATTCTCTCACCCAGAGTTTCTATTTTTAGCTACACTTCATCCAGCCCTCTAATCTCTACCTGCAGGACTCTGCCACATTTCTAATCTGTACACTTTTCACCTGTTGTTTTCTTCTTCAGCTCAGGGTGGTGATGGCCTTCACGGCGCTAGAACCAGGGGAGGACTCGTGGACTTGACTGACCGATAACTACTTAGATCGTTAGGTAACTCTTCCAGCAAAAAGGTGTGGTTTGAGGTTGTTTATTCGCTTACATTAAAGACTTAAGAAATGGAAACAGAAATACATATTTGAAAGAGAACACATTCACTGTTTACAAAAAATACCATACTGAAAACGCAAAGGGATCAGCATTTAGAGTTTTCAGCATAGTGTCCAGATAAATGAAGAGAAATAAGGGAGGATAACAACCTAAAGACATGATGTAATAGAGGACACAGGCCATTTCATGTGTTGGCAGAATTTTGAAAGGCTCTAGGAACGCTGATGGACATCAAGTTTCAGTGAGCATCCTGAGTCCCGGTCCTCCGTTTGACCTTCTGGTCCAATCCGTCATCTAAGCCACAGGTTGAGCCTGGGTCCACCTCCAGCCCCGTCCCCGGACTTGGGCCCGCTCATCAGGTTCTCACTTCAAGCTTAACTTCTGGGTCCGTTTCTCCCTCCAGCCCCCACATACTAAGCACCCACGTCCGCGAAGGAGTAACCCAGAATTCTTTGGCCCGGACAGTTGGATCTTGGGTCAAGGCTCGCGCCCCAAGCCCCGCCCCAAGCTCCTGGTGGAAGTGACGTCGCATCACCGCCCCTTTATCCGTTTTTCCTTTGTGTGGTCCAGTGGGTAGTATCTTTAGTGAGGCGCGTGGGAACTAGAGGGTTTGGCGGTGTTCGGGGTGGGGGGGGCACAGAGGTCGCGGTCAGACCAGGACTACCTAGCAGTACCTTCGGAGAGGTCTGGCCCGCACTGCTCTCATCCGCTGGGGCCGCGGGGCCGCGGGGCCGCGGGGCCCGAGCAGGTTCGAGAGGCTGATCCAGCCGTCGGTGTCCGCGGGAGCCGGGGCGGGAAGGCGGCGGTGGCGCGTCCGCGAGGGTTTTCATGTGCCGCGCTTCCCTATTCAAAGGCCTCAAGGCAACTTTTGTGGATTGTTTTTCAGAAGGAAAAGAATTTTTCGCTATTTGAGTTTGGTTGAGTCCGTCTCCAGGGTCCCCGCATCCCATGGACCTGGCGATTACGCTGTGTTCGGGTGAGCACCGGGAGAAAGTTGGCCGGAGGGCGTCCCTTCCTTACGCAGAAGAAAGCTGCTCCTCACATTTTGGTTTTGCCTTTGCGTGTCCTGTACTTGTGACGCAGTACACTTCTATTTATTCTTGACGCGTTACGTTCAGCAGAAAGAAACTTTGTTTGATGCCTAGGGCGGGCTATTTCTGTACGTGAACATAAACATCTGTAGACGCGAGTCTTCTACAGAAAAGTAAGAATGCTCATTCTCTTTATCTGAAGTTATTAGGTCTGTACATCCTCGAGAAGCTTCATAACCGAGTCTCCAGGAATGAAGGATGGAGGGTTTATACTAGAATAATCGAATTTTCGATTAACAGGATGGTTGTACTGAAAGTGTGATTTTCGCCTGTTTTTCTTTTGAAAAAAATAAAAAACTATAGGTATTCTGACCATCTGGTACAACGAATTTCAGTTTTAGTAGATTCACCTTGTTTTTACTATTTTGGTATTTGCTCTCTCCCCAGATAAATACGTTTGTTCTGAATTATCTGATAGGAAATTGGAAGTTCTTTGGAGAGATGAAGCTTGTTGGTAGATTGTTGGTATGCGTAGTTGTAGATAGTTGGTAATAGTAACCCAAAGATGAGGACACTGTTTTACTAAAACCGTGTATGCTTATTTGAACCAAGGAAATTAAAAATATCATCTAGGCCGGGCGCAGAGGCTCACGCCTCTAATACTGGCAGTCTGGGAGGCGGAGGCGGAAGATTCCTTGAACCCTGGGGTTTCAGGTTGCTGTGAGCTAGGCTGAAGCCAGGACATTCTAGCTTGAGGCAGAGTGAGAATTCTGTCCAAAAAAAAAAGATAATGTCATCTAGTATTTGCATGAACCTTTTTTTGCTCATCAGCTTTTCTTAGTGTTTGTGTATTTAATGTTGGCCCAGGAGGACACTTAGATTGTTCTAAAATATACCGTTGGGTATATTTGGGTCTGAGATATATTCAAGCTTTTTTTTGAGACAGTCTCACTGTCCTTCTCAGTGGAGTGCTGTGGTGTTCACAGCAACCTCCAACTCTTGGGCTTAAGCAATTCTCTTGCCTCAGCCTTCCAAGGATCTGGGACTACAGGTGCCCACCACAACGCCCTGCTATTTTTTTTTTTTTTTTTTTGAGACAGACTCAAGCTTTGGCCCTGGGTAGAGTGCTATGGCATCACAGCTCACAACAACCTCCAACTCCTGGGCTTAAGCGATTCTCTTGCCTTGGCCTCCCAAATAGCTGGGACTACAGGCCCCCCACAACACCCGGCTATTTTTTGGTTGTAGTTGTTGTTTGGCAGGCCTGGGCTAGATTCAAACCCACCAGCTCTGGTGTATATGGTTGGCGCCTTAGCTGCTTGAGGTACAGGCGCTGAGCCAATGCCTGGCTATTTTTATTTTTTAGTTGTAGTTGTCATTTTTGGTAGGCCTGGACTAGATTCGAACCAGCCAGCTCTGGTACGTGGCTGGTGCCCTAGCTGCTGAACTACAGGCGCCGAGCCTATTTGAGCTTTTTGTATTGCAGTTGTTTTAGTTTCTTAATCTAGAATAGTTGCTATTGTTTCTCCATTATATTGATTTTTTTTTTTTTTTT